TCTACCAAAGTTAGCTGAAACAATGGTCACTTTAAAAAAAAACTACTTTAACTTTTTGCTATGTAGCACCTACTTAGTTCTGAACTGAAGAATAATATAACTGTAACAGCCATACATACAGATTATGTTATCTTAATCAATGAGTCAAACTAGTGAGTTCATTCACCAGCTCAGGTAGGAAAACCAGATCAAGTAGGATAGTGCTTTTTTTTTTTTTTTTTTTTTTTTTTCTTTTTTTAACATAATTAAGTATCAATGTGCTTTAAAAATGATAATTCAAATTGTGACAAAGGTACCTATTTATTATTAATACATCTCAGATTTTTAGAGGTAGTTATTTCCCAGCAATGATGTCTGTGCGTTTTCTTTGGTGGTAAAGTAAAAATCTCATAGATTGAAATAATAATCATTCCAAAAGCATATTGCAATAGTAAAGTTCTGATATATGCAAATAAATCATTATGTGGAAGAAAGGAAATTGGTTTGAGGGAAGCACAGCTTATTAATTTTTGTTCATCACAGTTCACAAAGTGTATAACTTACTCAAAATAATTCTAAAATGATGAATTTTGGTACTTTCTAATTTTCTGAACCTCACCAGAATGCTGTGAAAAAGTATTGATGGTCTAAACCATGATGCGAAGAAAAATTTATGTGGCTACACATGTCACTAAAAATCATTTTTATATGGCAACCCAAGTATACACATAGCATTCTCCCAGACAGCACTTCTCCAGATATTTTCACCAGTCTGGTTGCAGATTATGATCCCTCCTATGGGAATTTCAGTACTTCAGCATAAGGGTGGACCACATACCGCAGTTTCTGTTGTCTCTGGTAAAATCTTTGGCGATGTTGCTTTCTGCATGCATACAACATAAAAGGCATCACATGCCTCTCTTTCCTTTCTCATTTTAGGATTCTGGTGCCAACATTTTGCAATTTTCTGATTTTTTTTTATTAAAAAGATTTATAGGGAAAACAACGCTGAAAAAAAGCCTAGCATTGTGCGTGTCTTGTATTGAAGAAGAAGTATGTAAAACAATAGGTGGTGGTGGATGCATCATTGAAATAAATTTAAAGATATGCAAACAAACATCCCTCTCCTAACTCACCAACAAGTTTGCAAATGCTCTTCAAAGTTGCCAATGAGTTCATGACTTACCACATCTGTGGTAAGAATGTAAATTCCATATATTTTATGGCTCTTGTTAAAGATGGAATTAAACACAGGAATTTTAATTTAAATATAGGAATTTTAATTTAATAACTTATATTTATTATATTTGTTTCCCTTAATGGGAGAGCAAACATAAATATTGGTGCAAAATGTAGTTTAAAATACATTCAAAATGCAATTTGTCACACAAGATCATCCCCATCTTTAAAAAAAAAAAAAAAAAAAAAAGGTAATGAAGTAGAAATAGATAATGGAAATGACACTGTGTATTTAAAAATATAAATGAAAATTTAGGATAATCCAAGCAATGTTTATGTGTCTAAAAAGTATATTCCTTACTACCTAATGCATACTAAAGGTTACTGATAGAATTAACTGACAATAGTTACTTTTAAAACAAGAATAATATTAAGAGCGATTCAAAGGTTATATTTAATTTAATGGACAGTAGGCAATGTAGGCATATATATTTTGCTGTAAATTGACTGGCAAATGTTATTCAGTAAAGGAAAAGATCCCACGTGTGCTTTCTCTATATAACTACTTTGATCTAGTCCATCATTAACAATATTTTTCCTGGGATTCCATCTCAGAGTGAAAACTGAGATAAATTTAGGTGTATAATTGTAAACTTTGTAATCTTGTTCTTAAAAAATGTGGTTGTATCACGATAAAAGATTAATAAACTATGTTAAATATTGTTTTTCCAACATTCCATTAGCAAAATGCAATATGGATATAACCCTCTCAAGCAAATAACCCATTTTCCTTCCTTTGTAATGATCCGGTATTTCTCAAGTGTGTATTGCATAAAGTGAAAATATATATTAACATATGAATTAATTCAGTTGTACATAAAATCACCTCTGACTTCTTAACTGATTTTTTTAAAGGATTAAAACATAACCGCTGTATGCGATCCGATGCGAACAAGTATGGCTGGAGTACGAGAAGCTTTACCACGTGACAAAACAAATGACGTCGAAAGCTCTATGTTACGTCTAAATTCTTCTAACCAATAGCAGCGAAGCAGCTCTCACAGCAGGAGGTACAGCGAGTACGTTTTAGGAACATGCGAAAAATCAAGCATAGGTGCGAAGGAAAGGTATATGCAAAGAGGGGCAATTTCGTATTTCAGAGGAGAGTAAAAAGGAATTTCGTATATTTTATACGAGTTCGAAAGGCCAGGAAGAAAAGATGGGACAAAATAAAGTAAAAAATAAATGGCCCAAAAGTAATGAAGAGGAGGAAAAAAAATATATTTATAATTTTTAAAAAAGGGCTTATAGAAAGAAAAGGAAAGGAAGTAAGAGAAAACAAAAAAAACATGATTGTGTCCATGAGTGTAGTCACAGGAAGTTGTTATCATTACATTAAATAGAGTCTTCCAGGTGTGTGTAATAAGTGTGTTTTGTAAAGCTGAATAGATGTGAAGATGGGAAAAAACTAATTATAAAAATATAAATATTGGGAGTCCAGTCACATAACAGTATGAGTCTAGTATTAGAAGCTAACTTTTACTATAACAGGGAAACTAAAATTTAAAAATTTTTTAAATAGCCTTTTTTTTTACATGGGAAACAATATGTTAGCCTCTACCTTGAGACACAGTAACGAAGACACAAAGATCAAGATACATATAATATCATGCAAAATTACATTAACTTAAGTAACATCATCTATTGCGGTTTCCAACATATTCATATATCAGAAAACACCATCAGATAAAATCATAAATCTAAAACAAGGCGAGAACACATCAGCAAAAATAAATAAGTAAATAAATTACAGAGTTTTTTTTTTTTAATATTAATTAATTTTTTTTAAATAAGCATTTTATTTATTAATTAAGTTAATGGTCATAATTTATTATATGTGTACTATTTTATCAATTTGAGTCACACTGTATTAATATATGCTTTTAATTTAATTACGATAGGAAAATATAGATTAAAGGAGCAAAAACTACAAATCTATACATTCATTGAGGCCTAAGATAGTGTTTTTTGCCCTCTCAAGAAATTCCTTAAAGGGGCCCCAATGGGTAGAGCTAACAGACTACACTACTGATAAAGGGCTACTGATAATAATAGTATCCCTACCAGATGGTAACCAAAAAACAAAAAACAAAAAAATAAACCACATGATTTAAAGCAATTAACTAAGTATTTAATGCCAGAACATATTAAAATGAGCATAATAATAGTCATCATAATAAATAAATGAATTTAAAGGTACTTTAGTGACAGATATTTGATTTAGCTTAGAGAAAGTTCTACTTATCTGAATGTTCCGTCTTGGTGTTGTAAAAGATTGCAAGGAAGATAAGACCTTTAGGTACACGAAAACTTTCGGTTTTGAGAACGAGACAATGTAGAGGATATTCGCGAAAATTTTTCTTAAATAAATGAACGTTTTCTGAAAGAAACTTTTGAAAATTTAGGAGCTCTTCTAAGATCCTGCCTCCATCGTATGTCGTAACAAAAAATATACTATTAATTGTTTTGTGCCTCAGTGCATTTCAAAGATACAAAAATCCGGAATTAGTTTCCGTAAATAATCCAAATCTAAAGATTAGGTTAAAAAAGTCTTGTTTGGATTTTAAAGTCCTTGTTAGCCGAAGAGAGGAAGGAATTAGAGCTCTACGGACTGGAAAGTTGGTTTCATCAAGAATGTGCGTGTATATTCCAAGCATGGCTGTCTAGGAAGTACGTCATCGGATGACAGCCATACCCTGATCTATCATAATAAGATACTTCTCAAGAGCAACTAGATATTACAATCCTTGAAAGAACACCGGTACCCATCTTAAAAACAGAAAAATCGGAAAATTACATCCACCACAATAATATTACCACATCCACCACAATAGTTTTACCACATCCATTACAATAATTTTACCACATCCACCACAACACACTGAACACTTTTAATATTAAAAAAAAAAAAAAAAACTAGTTCCAACATTGGAAAAGTCATGTCTACCATTATTCGTTTGTAGTATGTAAGAAAATGTTAACTATGTCAAATTGTAACTCTACCATTATTCTCTAAATAAACAAGAAAATAGTATCAAGTCATAGCTGTTCTATTTTTGACACCCCGCTCTAAATATAACAAACCAATAATGGTAGACATGACTTTTCCAATGTCGGAACCAGGTTTTTTTTTTTATTTATTTATTTATTTTTTTTATTTCTAAAGTTCATTAAAAGTGTTCAGAAAGTGAGCCAACAATGGTATATAAATACAGAATTGTGGTGGATATAATTTCCCAATTTTTCTGCTTTTAAAATGGGTATCGGTGTTCGAATACTTTTTTTGAGGTACTGTACTTGTCTCTTTTTGGCGTTAAAGCAATCTTCGAAGGATATCCGTTGTTTAATAGGTAAATTAAAAGGCTGATCACATTCCCCTTAAAACTTCAAAATTTCTCCCAGTTGAGAATCCTTGTTCTAAAGTTTTGAAGTTTAGAATTAGTTCTACAGTTTTTTGGCGTGTTCTTTTGTTAAATATATTTAGTACGAGAGCACAATAAACATGACTCACACGTTCAAATTTAGAGTTCCAAACTACTTAAATATTAGCCTTTATATTCTTCTGATTTGAATTTTAGTCAAACAAAGGTAGATATTTGCTTTTGAAACGGAGCTATTCTAACTTTTTGCAACAGAGATTAATTTTTGTAAACAATAATAGTATCCGTCAAATATGTATTTTATTTTCTGATGAATAAGTGCCAATTATGATAACCCTGCTGCAAAACTCTTGGCCAATAGAAAAGTAGAGCACCGGATTATGAGTATGATTAAAGGTAAATCTTGTGTTCACGTGTACACTAGCTGTTGTAAACAAAATCGCAATATTCGGTTCAGAATACGGATTTTGTAATTTCAGTAATTAAAAAAAAAAAAAAAAAAAAAACTAATGAAAGAGAAATTTGCATCCAAGCATAAAATTTATTTTAGCCTATAAATATAAAGTGTTAAGTCTCTTACATATTGAGATTTCGAAGTACATTCTAGTTACCTGAAGAACCAAAACTAAAAGTTTTTTACTTTTTAATATTCACAATATGACTGTAAGTACATGTTAAATGTATTCACTAAAGGTGTTTTAAAAATTGGTGTCTATGTACGAAAGATTAAAATGTGTTATTGAAATGTAATAATGTGTAACATATGGAAATGTAGTAATTAATCAAAGTAATATAACTGTTTTCAAAAGCTTTATTGATAAATATTTTCTATTTAAATTGAGACCGGATATAATGGATTCATTATTGACCTTATGGGGTTGAAGAAATTTTTTAAGAGTGTAAATACTGATCAAAGTGTTGATTCGGGAGGGGGATAGTTGAACCAACGATTGATCTGTGTAATCAAGAGCCCATTGATTACAGAACAAAATCTATTAATAAAATTTATAACTAGTTGTTTAAATATGATATATATACGTTCATCAACGCCACACAAAATAAGCCGCAAGGAAGAGACATCTGAAACTAGAATGATTAGCTTCAGTTTTTCATTCTAAAACTGACTTGTTTATATCGACACTGAATCGAAAATAATTGTATTAATTTGATAGCTTAATGTGATTGTGACTTGTCAAAAAGGACTGTATTTCCCCAAAAGATATATTCTTGTTTACAAGCTATTTGCAAAATTTAAGAATTTTTAATGTTCACTTCCAAGACATTGAAATTTTGAATGTGCCAACATGGCTTGTGATATCATCAAACTGCAATATATATGAGATTGATTGTATAATGCAAGAAGAATTTACTGAATTGAAAGAGGATGTTCAAGCAGGAGTCATATTCAAAATACATAGATATGCCTTGTTTTGGAATTTATAAGTCATCCGAAAAATAATCCCAAAGTAAAAGTTGTTACTGAAGCAACATTGCTGACAATAATTTACTACTTTAAGCAAGAGGCAGGATGAATATTTCTGAATGAGAGGATTTAAAAAGAGTATTTAACAATTATGTGTCAAACATTAAAACAAATTGCATCAATACATTAAGTGCAGCTATCATATTACTTAAAACTGAACATTCATGTGATTAGAATATTTGACTTTGTTTCTCAAAACTTGTTTATGTTTGTAAAGTAAAAATAATTATTAACAAATCTTATGAAGTGTTTTTTATAATTTGTGCTTATATTCTTTATTAATGTATTTATGTGAAATTATTTGTGTAATGATTATGTTATATGCTGCATATAGAGAAAAATATAAAGGGTCGATTAAGAAAATGATTTTTTAAAATGGGTCAATGCAAGAAAAGTAGGGTGAAATGCAGAATCGCTCACTTATTTGGCATGTTGTGTTCCCTTTAGATAATAAATGCTTCATTATTTAATAAATCACAATTTCACATTTTTTATTTTATAATTTCTAGATGCCATCTTACTGGTTTTAAACTGATGATCAAATATTCGGAATCACCAAAGTCCTCATGAATCCGTAGCTTTGACTTTGAACTGTATTACATTTTCATATCTCATGATTACTATAGAAAAGTACATGCATTACAAAATCTCTAACAATGATAGGCATTTTAAATCACTCTATTTGTCATAAATTTCTTTTAGTATTTTGAAATTAGGAAATTTTAGTGATTTTTCTTTTTCAAACATTTCTTGGAGCTTTCAAATTATTCAGTGTGTCTCCAAGTTTTATTATACATACAAAGTGTGTCTCCAAGTTTTATTACTAATATTTGAAACAAATTCCAATATCCTTACTAAACAGTTGATATGATTTGTAATTTGATTATTTGAATCGTGACTAAAAATTTGTGAACTCATTGCCACATTTGGAAAACCTTTGCATTGAAGCACCGTGCAAGGTGTCAAATTTTGTACAGAAATGTCTGAGTATCTTTACATCTGTTTTGTTGATTTATTAAATGCTACCTATTTACCTACAAAATCTCTAACAATGATAGGCATTTTAAATCACTCTATTTGTCATAAATTTCTTTTAGTATTTTGAAATTAGGAAATTTTAGTGATTTTTCTTTTTCAAACGTTTCTTGGAGCTTTCAAATTATTCAGTGTGTCTCCAAGTTTTATTATACATACAAAGTGTGTCTCCAAGTTTTATTACTAATATTTGAAACAAATTCCAATATCCTTACTAAACAGTTGATATGATTTGTAATTTGATTATTTGAATCGTGACTAAAAATTTGTGAACTCATTGCCACATTTGGAAAACCTTTGCATTGAAGCACCGTGCAAGGTGTCAAATTTTGTAGAGAAATGTCTGAGTATCTTTACATCTGTTTTGTTGATTTATTAAATGCTACCTATTTACCTACAAAATCTCTAACAATGATAGGCATTTTAAATCACTCTATTTGTCATAAATTTCTTTTAGTATTTTGAAATTAGGAAATTTTAGTGATTTTTCTTTTTCAAACATTTCTTGGAGCTTTCAAATTATTCAGTGTGTCTCCAAGTTTTATTATACATACAAAGTGTGTCTCCAAGTTTTATTACTAATATTTGAAACAAATTCCAATATCCTTACTAAACATTGTTACATTCTTCTTCATCCATGCGAGACTCTCACATGTCTCAGTTTTTTTATACTATTATTCTCCCCATGTATACACATGTCTATTTTTGCTAAAAAAATTCAGACAGTTGTGACATCATGCACAACTCATGGCTCATGTGGCTGCATAGTAATTCCCTGTGTTTAAAGTAAATATGAGCCAGTTTCACTCATAAAGTCTGGCCCACCAGCGGCCGAGCGGTAACTTCACTGAACACTGGTAGTTCAATCTGAGGTTCGAATCCCCCTTTGAAGCATTCCTTCCCTTAGGCACATGGCCCTTGAGTGCTTTGCCAAATTCAAATCAAACCAAACCACAGACTTGAACAGTATTCCAAAAGAGAATTCTATGAAAACATTGAAAAGTTGTATGAACATGCAAAATAGTATAGATTTACGAGGATTCTGTGTCGAAGGCTAAGAAATAAGAATCTGTTTTCTTCAACTTTCAGTTCTGTAGAACTTAGTCCTAAAACTTTGTGGTTTTTTATATATGTAGTTATGTATTAAAAAACGTTTGTTAATAAAACTTTGTTTTTTAAATCATCATTTTAATTTATTTATTATATTTCTAATTAATCTTCTGCTAATTGATATGTTTTACATATTTTCTACTAATATTTTGGCGATATATGTATATATATTCTTTTCTCTTTCAGAATGAACAGGATATTCCTATTGATATACATCTAAACAAATTACTTGGTAAATTATTATGTGTATTCCTTTTAATTTTTAATATTCTTTTTCAATAAATAGTTTGGTAAAAATATGTTTACTATTAACTTATTTAAGCACCTGAGCTTAAATTTTCTAGTTTTCAGAAGTGAGTATACTGTATGAGCTATAAAGTAATTCTCATATTAACTGGATCCTGAATCTGCAGAAATAAATTAAGAGACATGGTAAAAATTCTGTGAAAAATAGCCTTGGTTATTTTAGGTTCATTTGAAAAGAAACATGGATGTTGATACAAAGGAATAACTTTCTTCCGTTTGTTGCCGAAGATAATTGAACTGTAAAGTAATATATAGTTTATAACATTACATCTTTCACTTTCTTTGAATAATGAATAGCATAAACTTTTTCTTAGGTTTCTTGTCACAATACTTAAGTTTCTTATTAATTGCCTATTATACTTCACATTTTCATGAAACTAATCTTAAGAATTAACATGTGTTATGAGTATAAAGGTGAACAAATCTATTTCATTAATGTATGAAGTGCATAAAGAATACAAGCTGCTGATTGGATCTATCAATTGATTGTAAGATTAAGATTAAATCAGTTATATTGCAGAAAGTGTCATTGATAAAATTCATGTCTTATCAAATTGTAAAATTGAAGAATGTTTATTCATTGTTCTAAATGTTGACTTCATCGTCTAGGTTAAATCTGGGAATTATTGCTTAAAAACTGGGAACCTAAAATATTAGACCAAAAGTGCTGTTGCAGACAGGGATGAATTTTCTGGATAAGCGCTGTGTTACAATGATGTTACCGTAGTGCTCCATCATGATATGCAAGCTGTGGTTCATGCCAGCCTTTTTGCATTGAGGAGCATCTTAAAGCCGAGTTCCAATAAACATGGAGCAGCTTATGGTGTATGAATGAATATAGATGCATTGAACTGTATGAAAAAGAAGCAGAACTCCATAGAAATAATTATATTATGTCCATTATTGCCTAACCATTACAGGTTGTATGCAGTTGAGAAAGCAAAGCACTTCTAATCTACAAATCCTTATGTGATCTCTAGATTAACCTATAATTCACTATAAACCTATTTTCCATAACAAAAATGAGGAAAGTGGGCACTGAGGGTCTCTCAAAAGAATACCGGAGCTGGAGAATTGTTTTCATTAGGCTCTTACATTTCTCGTTATGAATTTGTAGACTGTCATTATCTCACTAAAATAAAACCAATTTATAGTTATAGTATTCTCTTCCTTCTTACTATATGCTTTAATGTTGTAATTTGAAGCACCCCCGGCTTGCATCGGGAGGTCGGGAGGTCTGGAGTTCAAATTCTAGCTGTGGAATTGCTCATTTTGCATGTTTCTTGCTCTGATAAAAATTCATAAAGCTCATTTTGCATGTTTCTTGCTCTGATAAAATTCACAAAGTATGCATAAAGCAAAGCATGTGTTTACCCATGCTTGTTTAATGTATAATGGACGGTATAAGCTAGGTTAAAATTATCTTTACTGATTCTAAGGCATTTCAGTTAATGTTGCAGATTGCGCTGTTTCCTTAATCTTCTAATTGGATCCAGCTTATTATTTTTTGCAGACTGTTAGAGCAATTTTATAAAAATTAAGCTTGAACTTTCGATTATGTCAAAAAGAGTTTCCAATTCTGGAGCTGCCAAAGAATCTACAAAGCGAAAGCATGCTTCGATGTCCATCAAACAAAAAGTGGAATTGCTGCAAAAAATGGATAAGGCCTATCTGTCTCAAAATTATGCAAAGAGTATGACATTGGAAAGTCAACTGTATATAACATAAGCAAAAGAAAAAGGAACTTTTTGAATTTTTTGTGGATTCCGACACCCGACTTGCAATGAATAACAGAAAAAGGGTTCATTATGCTTAAAAGTGATGAGCATGACAAAGTCATGATTGAATGGGTCAGACAGCGTCGCAGCTAGGGCGTGCCATTGATGGGTCCAATGCTAAATGGCTCAAGCCAAAATATTTCGTGAAGAAATGAACTTAAACACTGTGTACATATTCGAAAGGTTGGTTAACCAAATTTAATAACCGTTATGGTATAAGACAATTAAAAATTTCATGTGAAAAAGCTCAGCTGATACTGAAGCTGCTAAATAATTTGCAGATGAATTCATTGTACTCATTATTTGTGAACAATTATCTCCAAAACAAATTTACAATGCTGATGAAACTGGTCTTTTCTGGCAATATGTACTGTAAAATACCTTGGCAACCTCTACAGAAAAGCCTCCAACTGGTGTCAAAGATTCCAAAGCAAGACTAACAATTTTACCCTGCGCAAATGCTGCAGGAAAGCACAAGTGCAAACTTTTCGTAATCGGAAAACATGCACGACCTTGAGCATTTAAAGGAGTAACGATTTTCCCCATTATATATCATGCAAATAAAAGAGCATGGATGACACAAGCATTAATGAATGATTAGTTTGAAAATCATTTTAAACCCGAAGCTCGGCGACATTTGAATTCGGTTGGTTTACCTGATGACTCAAAAATAGTCCTGATTGTTGACAACTGTTCGGTGCATACTTCACTTAAAGTTTTAGTGAAAGATAATGTATCTGTATTATTCTTCCTTCCAAATTGTACGTCTATCATTCAGCCTATGAATATGGGAATAGTGCACGCTCTGAAATGCAAATATAAAGCGGCCTTATTAAAATCTATGCTAAATTTCTTGAACAACGACAAGACTATTCAAGACTTTTTGAAATTTATTAGCCTAAAATCTGCTGTATGGCGCATCGCAAGATTGTGGAAGGATGTGTCTCCAGATACGTTAAAAAATGCTTGGCATAATTTATGGCCAGCTACCATATTTCATGGCGAGGACGATAAAGATGAGAGCCGCGAATTTGAAGGTTTTCGTACATCGCAAACTAAAGGTGAAATTTTCCAGTATTGGATTTTGTAAAGAAATGTGGAGATTCGGTAATAAATAAAGATGATATAACAGAAGTTTTCATGGCGATGACAATGCCCCAATCATCAATCAAAAACGGACGGCGAAATCTATAGTATGGTTCTAGATCCAGAAAATACCGCTTCCGATAGTGAAGAAAGTGACAAAGCGTTTATTGAAAACGAAAAAATTTCGATTTACAAGTTAGTCGGTATTCTCGACACAGCAATTAGAAGACTTGAACAGTGGAACTTTGTAACTGAACAAGAAATTATGTCTGTTTATAGAATTAAAGAGAAATTATTAGCACAAAAAACGAAGCAACTTAAACAACTTATATTGAAAGAAATGTTTAATAAAGTAAACAAATAAATATTAAGCTTCTTTTGGTGAATTTTGATACCCTTTAGATCATAATTGCTCTTTATTTCATAAAATTACAGTTTCATATTTTTAATTGTATAATTTCTGCATGCCATCTTACCAGATTTAAATTGATGATCTATAATCCGGAATCCTCAGCTAATTTCCGACAAGTCCGGATTACGGACTTTGTACTGTATTCTCTTCCTTCTTACCGTATGCTTTCATGGTATAATTGGAACCACATCTGACTAGCATCGGGAGGTCTGGTGTTCAAATTCTGGCCATGGGATTGCTCATTTTACATGTTTCTTGCTTTGATAAAAATTCAGTGATGACTACAGTGTTTCATCATCACCATCGTCACATTACAAAATTTCTAGTGCTCTAAAGAAAATAACATTTACTTTTTTTTGTCAGAACCATCTTTATACAGTAGGATGTCTGAAATCCAGATGTGTGAAATTAATATCTGAACCTAGCGGCCACCAGCCAAAAAAAAAAAAAAAAATGTAAATAAACTAATTAAAAAAAACTCCCTCTCCCTCCTATAAAATCTAGGTATGGAAAATATAATACATAACAAAAAGAAGATATATTGTAGATGGGAATTTTCTCCTAGTGACTGAGATTGCTGCATTTTACTTTCAAATGCCTGCTGGTTAAGGAGAGGCATCATAGTCAATAACAATAACCTTATAACTATTAACCTTATATGGATATACCTTATATGGATAGTGGCCGGGATCTCAGTGGTTATGTGCTTGGGGGGGGGGGCAGGGCCAGCATGCAGGCCTTAAATTGTAAAAATTTTACTGTCCCTAAATTCTGATGCCTGCCTCACCTAAATTTAAAAAAATATTGCTGCTAAATACTCCTCTAAATTCTGAAGCTTTTGCTATCCATTGTGGGGCACCAGCCCTGTTGAAAAGGTAGCATTTATATTCTATCTGATCAAAACAGTAAGTGAAACTCCAATATTGCTATGCATATGTATAATCTTACTAGATCTAAAATCCAGAATTTATTTTACTCATAGCCCATCAGCAGCGAAGCAGTAAAGTCACTGAACAGTGGTAGTTCGATCTAAGGATGGAATCTTGCAAGTGGCCTGGCTGCATAGGGCTTTTTGTGGTTTTCCTCGTGTAACATGTATATGTGCCAGATTCCCTCAGAAAGTCCTCCATGAAGGTATCCCTTCCCTTAGGCAGATAGCCCTCAAGTGCTTTGGGTTAATCAAATAAACCAAACCTATCTTACTCATGATCTAAAATCTGGAATCGTTGAGATACCAACAATTCTGGATCTCTAACTTTGTATCGCATTACAAAATTGGCTTCTAGTCAGGGTAAAATTATCATGTGTGTAATGTAGTGTTTTTATTTTCTGTTATTTTGCAATTTTATTTATGACACTCTGTGTCTTTTGCACTTACTGTTATATTTTATGAAATATATAATTACTAGTCTCAGAGGCGAATGATATTTTATGAGATAAATGCATAGCATCTCATTGTGAATTCTTATTAAGTACTAATTTTGAAAACTTTGTTTTAGATTGGCTGGTTAGTCGTAGAATTTGTCCAAGTGATTGGCAAAAGAATGTACTAGTTGTTCGTCAGAATATTAACAATGCCATTCAAGATATGCCAGCTGTGGATGAAATAGCTAATTTATTAGCTGGAACATGTAAGTAAATACTTTGATAAAAAGTGTAGTTGAGGTTTACTGTTAATTGTATTCTTTTAGTTTGTATTTCGTTTAGAGAAATAAATAAATGCTTGTCTTTATTTTAATTTTATAAAAATGAGTTTGATAATTATTACAAAATTTGAAAATGATATTGAAAAAAGTTTTTGAAAAAGGAAGCTCTGTTTCATTGAAGAGGGGAAAAAACAGATTAAAAAAAATATTTATTATCATTATGGTGTCTGCTCTTTAAACTGTTTTTCCAAATAAACATGAATTTTTCTTTGCCATCATTAAGGCATTTGTGTTAACACCAGTTTTTTTGTATCACTGTGTCAAAGAAATTTGTCATATGCTCATTCAACCAATGACTCATTTCACTCTTTGCTGTTTTGTTGTCAAACTGTTGTCCAGCAAAGAGCATTTTTAAATACTGAAAAAGGGATACTTTAGCACAATCACCTTAGTTGCAATGGCCAGATTTTCAAAAAGTGCCAAATTCTGATAACTATGCTCATAATGATTCTTTAGTCAAACAACTTTCATGTGCTTTCTTTTTTTGTAGTTCCAGTGGTTTTTATAGATAACTCTTGATTTTTTTTCCCCTTAAACTGAAATTAGTGAGTTTTAAAGTGAATGCTTGTGGAATTTGCCAGCACTAGAAGAAATTCTGATAAAATTTCTTCAGTAAGTAATACAGTATTTTGCCACAAAATCACTAAAGAAAAAAATTGTTTTGAATCGGTTGTTAAAGGAATCACCACAAAATAAATTTTTTAAAAAAATCACCAGTATTTTTTGTTTTGCTGACTCAAATCTTGCCAAGCTGACTTTATTGCGGACAACACACTGCATACACATAAAAAATGTTGACAAATGTTAGTTCTAAGAATTTTTTTTTTGAAGGTATAAACATTTTAATGTGATTTAAAATTTGTAAAAAAGCCAATAAATAAAGACAATAAATTTGTAAAAAGACATTAATTTAAGAATTTACTATGCTTTCATGGTACAACATCCTGATTCGCTGGTTCATATCACATGACCCCAAGGATCTCACCTCATGTAAACTACGCTACAAAAGTCTAATTCTCTCAGTAATTATCTACAATAATTTCAAGTTAAATCTTAATTTGGAATACAAGTTTAAATGCAGCGATTATTTCAATTCGTACAAATAGCTTACACAGAAATTATGTAGAACTGCAGTGATTTACTTTGCTCTAGTGCATTCTCATTAGAATTGATGAATTTAACCCTTTACTTTGCCTTATCTATATTTTCTCCATTGGGTGAGTGGTGTGATTGCATCCTAATTGACTTAATTACCACCCGCGAATGGCCTTAGGGCATAAAATTGAACTTTCTGGTAAACATTTTATGCAATTGTATGCCAATATTGAAAGAAACAATCAATCTTATAAGAAATGGCTGTGACTTGTTTTGAAAATGAGAAGTAAAAGGTTACCAGTGAGGATATTCCCTTTGGCATCTGTTGTACAATTAGTGGCGACTTTATCGCTTGTGCCGGCAAAACGGAAAAATACCAAATCACCTTATAAGTAAATTTATTGTTGGATTTTTTTGAATAAATACCTAATTAGAGTGGGAAATGTAATAATGTTTGTATTTGTAATAATTTTTGTAGTTGAATTGAATGATGATTCATTTCATTATTCTTTTTCATCTGTAAAAAATCATCAAATTGTGCCAAGGTGGTTTCATCAATATGCAAGCATTGAAAAGGTTAAAATCTCTTGGTGTTATTTCTGGCTGTAAAAGGACTAAATGAGATGTACAGTCAAATGTTGTCATGCAGTATCATACTTTGTGTGAGCATCCTGTCCATCTTTCTTTTCTTTCTTTGATTACTTAATACAAGTAAACTTCCCATGCTATGGTTTTTCTATGAATTGGAATTAAGTTTTTTACATTCCTAGAAAATGCATATAAAATGTGGAAATTGTGAAATGCTGTGATTTGCGTAACTGATTACCTTAATTTTTGAGTATGCTTATTCTCATAAATTTGTATGTTGACAGCCATTGACAGCATTCCCAAAAGATGATCTGCCACTAATTATAATTATGACTATGGCTTAGTGTTAGAAGGTCTGTTGCCCGTAGTTTTAAAAAGCTGCTGATTTCATCTCAATGTGCCATCTGTATTTGGTTATCGGTATCATTTTGGTTTGTGCAGCTTAGTTGTTGTTAAGGGCGATGTTTGCCAATAGATTATGCCAGTTATAGTCGGTATTCTTATTTTTTCAGAGAATACATAACCTTTTGAATCATAGCCTGATGCTTAAACCGATCATGTTGAAAGAGTTCTCTTAGTGTAAGCATATTTTAAGCAATGTCTTTTTTTGTGAGAGGGAGGGGGACCTTGTGGAGCCGTTCATTTGATAAGCTTGATATGTGATAAACTGCAGGCGTAGAGGCATAAGTAAGCCTATTAAGCTAGTGAGTAGGTTTGAGACCCTAATCTATTAGTATATATTTCATCATAGGCTGTGATGCAGAGCATTAACATTTAGTGTGCATCCTGTTTGGTTCAGCATTGCTGTGATACTGTTGGTTGTATGTGTGTGAGTAAGAGGATAGCTGGGTAGGCAGCTACATATGGATCAGAAGCACAGTGCCTTGGTGAATGTATGTCGTTATTAGTTTTAATACTTGAAACTGGTTACTCATCTTTGTTATCTGGCTTGATCGTGTGATTCCATCACTGCTTCATAATCAGTACAATTTTTTTTTTTGGTCGATACTACTTAATTGTTGGTTGTGGCAATGCTTGCTGATTAAAATAGCTGCAGTAAAGGTAATTTTTACATGATAAATGCATAAGTGCATGCTGGCGCTTTAATATATCTAGCAAGTTCACAATTTAAACTTCTGAAAAAAATTAATAGCATGTCTGCATATAAAGCATGTTTTTTTATTTTAAATATGCTATTTGAAGTTTGCTCATATGGAATCTAACATCTATTATTGTAGCAAACTGGTTAAAAATGTTATTTTGCATGTGTTTCCAGAAAAGGCAGCTAAAGGCTTTATGATTTTAAATACTGGTTCAAGACATGCACCTTTAAATTATAATGCTTTTAGATTGAAGTGCCGAAATGCTGTAAAAAATACTTCAGTTCTCTGATGGCAAAAAAAAAAAAAAAATTGTATCGATTTAGTAGAGTAAAAATTCCACATCAAAAACATTGTTTCACCTCTATTTAGGTAAAACAAAATTTAAAAAATAATACATACATAAATAAATAAAAATAATACCTTTACATACAGAATTTGCAAATATTATTTACTAATCAATTATTTGTCATTGTTAGCTACTTTTTATAATACACAGAAAAAATACTGATTAATTTATAAGAATTTACATGCATTAAATGATGAAAAGAACATACATTTGCTGTTGATATTACACTTATCTGAATATTTAATGATAATTCCATAACCTATATAAGATTCAATCTATACCACTGCAAGAACAATGCTTAAATCACAGTTCTTGTTAATTAATTTCCATATGTAAAAACATAAAATATCATTTAGCTACAGATCTATAGATTAACCCTTTCAGGGCTGGCGTCTCATATACGCATTCCCAAAGAACGTCTCTTACAGCTGGGTGTCCCATCCACGCATCACTAGAGATTGCATTCAGAGGTCGGGTGATACGTATACGCATTTTAAGCTGGAACGTTTTTCTGAAGGCCACTTGATGGCATCCTATGTCCATTACTTTTGGAAATGAGCACAGTTTTAGGTTCCTGACCTTGAGTTTGATATATTCTGCTTGACTCTGGTATTTTACTCATCAGCTGTTGTGAGGGTGGGGGGGGGGGGGAAAGCGTAAACAGAGGTGAGCTCTTTAAATCGCTGCGTGTTAATGAAAACATTCACGTGTCTGATTTATATCCAGTTGCTTTTTTTATTCTATTTTTTCCTTTACTATGCACGGTCTTTTAGGGTTAGTATGGGGAGTATTCTTACGTTTTTGCATTGCCTTCAGATATATTTCCGTTTCTTCTCTTTTTATTTTGGAAAGCCTCACCTCCAGTCTATTATGGCTGGAAGGCGCTATTTATCAGAGGAAGAATACCCTCGTATGGTCAATGAACTATTTATTTATGCAGATGAGAGTGATGATTCATTTTCTAAACAGTTATAAAGTGATACTTTTTCTGAGAGTTAGAAAGTGATACTTCTCCATGCTTCGAGATTTACCACACTCAGTCTTCATTTTAAATTTTGTTACTTCTTACTGTAGATAGTCTTTATTGTGTTGTTTTATTAATTTTAAACTTTATTGATGGATTTTATCAATTAAAACTTGGAATAATTTGAATAGCACTTCCGAAAATTATTTTACAAGATAAACAATTTTTTAGTATATTTTCATGTAAAATAAAGAAAAAAAAACGTTATTAAGTGCTAATTTTAATATATATAAAAGCTCAAGTAATAATCTAAAACGATACCAAAAATTGCGATGCTAGAAGCAAAACTTTTTTTTTTCTGATTTGTTTTAAATAAAATTAGGTTTATCGATGCAAAACCTCCGTCCTGTACGGTGACTGCCTTCGATTCCCTTCCGTCCCGCATGAACGTCAAACAAAGGTGCGCTGTCGCGAAAAGGTTAAGACCTCTTGTAACAAGCATATGCAAAACACATATAGTGAAAATAATGCAAAAATAGAATTCCATTATTTTCCATTATTATTTATTATTAGTGCAATTCATTCCATTATATTAAAATCTTGTTAAAATACAGCAGTAATTTGATATTTTTTCTAATATAAATCAACAGCTTTATATAGAATGATCTTACTTTACTGGATTTTTATTTAAATGAATGTATATGGAAATCTCAAAATAAATGGAAAAAAAAAAAAAAAAAAAAAAAAAGGTCTGAATAAATCTTAGCCAACACTGCTAAGATAATATTCTTATTTTCAAGAAAATGTTTCAAAGTATATCATTTTAGTTTAGTTCTTTTTCTATCAAAGTAGTTAACCTAAAACATATATCTCATTAATTTGTTAAAAATATAGCTTAAGTAAGTTTTATGTGCATACTGAGAAGGCGGAACCTGTGCTTGGAACTATCCCTGATTATCATGTGATATATGACAAAATGGATGTATACTTTCTTGATAAAATGGAAATATATTTTTAAATTTTGCATTTATTTGCTTTATATTGTACTGATACTTTAATCCTTTCAGATATCAATTACTTTCATTGCCTCAGAATTGTAGAACTTCTCAAGGAAACTGAATCTTCCACAAAAAATATATTTGGACAGTATTCATCTCAAAGAATGAAGGATTGGGTAGAAATAGTGAAATTGTATGAAAAGGATAATATTTATTTAGGTGATTTTTGTAATTTTTAAAATTATTATTATTACTGTGTAATTATAGAAGCCTATTCAAATGGTAAATGTGTTTATAATGTGCAAAGTTCTAGAATAGTTTACATTTTATTTATGATACCTTTAGCTGAAGCAGCACAGTTACTGGTTCGAAATATTATGTACGAGTTACCATCATTGAAAAGACAATTGACGAAATGCAAGCAGCTACAAGATGTATGTATTTTCTTTACTTTGAATCTTATTTTAAATCAATAACTGTATATTATTCAAGCTTTTCATCTTCCTTATGTAAAGTTCAAATTACTGCCAAACATTACTTATGAAGTAGTCTTTGCACCATTATTTTTTTTCCCCTTCTTGTGGTGTTTGTACTGTATAGTTGATATGACATTTCAAAGCCAGTCTGAGTTTGAATATAGTTATATGTATGATTAAACAATTACAGAATTTTGCCATTTATTAATATTTGCTTTGCTAAGCAATTCTTGCTGAGACATTATCTGATTTTTTTTTAGCTATGTTATTTGAATAAAATTATAGAAGGATGCAGTGATTACTTAGATGGGTGACAGTAAGTATAAAAAAGAACAGTAATTGCCGTGGAATATGCTATTGCAAACCACATTTATTTGATGAAAATCATAAAAAATCTGATATCAAGAAGAAAGGAAAAGTGATTATTGACTAACCCGTGATTTTGCTTGTAGTTTCACTGATTATGTGTAATGTATACAGCATCATGTAATGTGTGTTGGGGTAGAAGTGGACAATGAAAGGCAGCAATTACTTGTCTATTTCATTTGGGAAAAACATAATTAACTACCCAAATGAGGAATATGCTGATGAGCATTTGATTTATGGCCACTCGGGTGGGTGTGGATGCTTAGCTTGTCAGATATATCAAGAACAATACCTATAGAGGCTTTGTCCATACTACACTACCTTTGCCAAGATTAACAGCTACAAGAGATAGTGGTCCTTCAAGGTAACAAAATGTGATCTAAGGCAACTGCACTAGGTGCATGTACCTGAAATAGAATAACATATGCTACAGTGAAATAGAATAACACATTTACAGTTCCTCATCGACAAGTGCATGACTGATTGCAGCTGAACTCTAGTGTTCTATACATGACGATGTTGAAGATTCTGCTTCTGAAAACTTGCACTGCTTTCATGTACAGAACAACTTCATGTGCACTTCTAACACTGAAGAGTTGAACAAGACTGAAGAGTTGGAGACGACTCTCCCTGTTACGTAGAGTTTGTGCATTAAGTACCTGACACCACCAAGAATAATCCACAATTTTCTGCCACTTTTTTTTATTTATTTATTTTTATGAAGCTAGCTTTACACAAGAAGGAGTTGTCAACAACACAGTGTGCATGTTTGACAGAAAATCTGCAGGCTGGTGTCTCTCGGAAAGCTTAACATAGGTTCAGCATCAATATCTGGACAGAAATGCCTGGTGATTATTTGTGGTACTTTCTGCCAAAGTGGTGCAGTGTATCTTGATTTCTTGAAGTGCTCCCCTTCAAATTAGCTATAGGTTATTGTACAGTGCAGGACATTTAGTACATTCATGATGATGTCTCACCACATTTTTTCAACACCGAGTTTAATTATATATATGCCATATTTTCCTGGAAAGTGGATTGTATCTAGTAAAGCCATTGCACAGCTTCTGTGCTCACTAGATTTCAATCCTTTGAACTTCTCTTTGGAGTCATTCCTCCGAAGATGTTGCAGGATCTTAACAGCATAGGCCATTGTCACTGCAGAAGACATCTATTACACACTATGTTAATGTGTGTCCAGCAGTCATTTTTCTCTCTCTGTAGCTATGCTTTTGGTATCTTCATGTACATCCAGCAGTAATTGGTCCTGTTGCGGTGGATTATGCAATAATGTTCTCATCTATTACTTCAAACATCTCCTAATAAATTCCTTTAAACAATTTATAAGCATAATTATAACTTAAAAACCTTTAAACAATTTATAAGCATAATTATAACTTAAAACCTTTAAACTTTTAAACAGTTTATAAGCATAATTATAATAACAGGACCAATTACTGCTGGATACTCCATTTATATCCAGCAGTAATTGGTCCTGTTGCGGTGGATCATGCAATAATGTTCTCATCTATTACTTCAAACATCTCCTAATAAATTTTCATTGTTCTCTTTCCAGCACTGTACTCTACACCATAGTCTGTGTTGTAAATTTGCTATGAAATAAAATACTTTTTACTTCCCCCCCCCTTGCTTGACATTAGACCCACACAAGTGCTTTTGTGATTTTTGATGACTAAATGTTATTTGTGATAGTGTGTTTAATGGCTGTTATTATTTCTCATAATATGTATTGTCACACCTTCAAGTTCATCACCACATCAGAAGAACATCCTCAAAATATTTTATTATGTTTAAAACTTTTGTATTACATATTGCTTTTTTGTATTTATCAAAAGCAAATGCAAGTTAACTGAATGATGACAAAAGCATTATCATTTGCATTGTGTTCTAATGATACAGTACAACATACAAGATCTGAAATCATCAGTACTCTGGTGATTCCACAGTTTGGAAATTTTCAGATTTTAGATCATTAATTTAAGTTTAGTTAGATGCAGGGCTTAATTTCTAAAATTAGAAGTGTCAGAGCCCTATGGAAGACCATCAGCAAAGAGGAACAAGAGTAAATAAATAAATAAAATGACTATTAAACTCATTAGTAATTTTTAAATTAAATAGTTAATTACTATCAAATTAATTAATAGCTATTTAATTCATGCTTATAAATTGTTATTTAATCAATAATTATTATATAGTTAAATAATTAAAATTAACTGTAAAGAGATAAATTAAAATTTAATGAGCGATTTTTAATATAATTTTATCGCTAAAAATAAAATTTTCGAGATAAAATAAATTGTTATTCAATTACATAAAAGAAGTGCCGCAACCTTCTTATTTAGGGCTCCAGTGCGCTCTGGCTAGAATTATGATTTATTACAAAAACTAAGAAGCATCAGAGCCAGGATTCAGTGAGCCCCTTGCGCAAAATAAGCTCTGATCATAAGGGGGGAAAGTTCTATCATCACAAAAATTAAATATACTTAAAATATAGCTGATGAAAATTCAGATAATGCTAAAAAGAGGGCAAAACTAAATGAGGGCATGAGGGTATGAGTGGGTGGAAACCAAAAAAGGAGGTAAATCTTGGTGAGAGAAAATGTTCTTTTTGACTGTGGCTGTTTGCTGATATAATTATAGCTATCAAGCAGATGTGTGTCAGGGGTAAAATGAGTTCTGAATCTGACTCCTAAGGATGAATGCAAAGTTGCTGGTTATGCTTTTCACCCCCCCCTTCCCCGTATTTGGTTACATTAGTGGATACTCTGGGAAGACGATGTATAGGACGTGCTTGAGCAGTTTATCTCAGTATTTCACTGTATTTCCAGGGAAATAGAGTATTGCAAGATCTGCTTATTGTTAAACTAAAATGTTAGGAATTCTAAATTTTGTTTTCTTGAAGTTGTGGCTCAGTTTGATTAAAAAGAAGTACCAGAGCTCATCTTATTTAGGGCTCCAGTGCGCTCCGGCTAGAATTGTAAATTTATCTTAAAAATTGAGAAGTACCGGAGTGGGCCTCCAGCGCAATTTAAGCACTGGAAGATGTCGTGTAAAATTAAAAATGTGAAATAACAAAAACACTCATGACCTTGAAGAAATAGATTGTGTTTTGCAGTTGTGTTGAACTGTCACAGTAGATTACTCTAACTTCTACTCTGCATTTATTTACAATTCTTCTTCCACTTAGGAGATACATATTTTAACTTACAAGTTTTCTACCACCTAGCAGATGCAATTACAAGTTTCTGCCACTTGGCAGATACATAATATCATTAGACATTTACTTATGCGATTAGTGTTGAGATGCCCGAAATCCTGATATGTCCGCTCCCTCCAAGTTCTGTAGTGCAACTAAACTACTTTTATGCATGGTGTGCCTTCTAGCAAAAACCACCACAATTGAAGGAGACTATATATCCTCAGAATCAACCAAAAAAGTTCAGTGTTAACATTAATTGTGTTTTATTAAATGTTTCTTTTTACATAAGTTGTTTGAGCAATTATTATTATTTTTATTTCTTTCTCTTTATATAGAGACTTATTTCTTGTTCGGTTAGAAAATTCCATTGTTTAAATCCTTTAATTACTATCTTGAAAATTCCCACTAATAGTCAACGGAAATATTTTGATCCTCAATAACCTCTTTTTATCAATTTTTTTATTATTTATTGTGATACTTTTTGGATTTAAAACAATATTGTAGAATTCACTGTTCATTTATTAATTGATGACTGGTGCATGGTCATCACAATGGAATACTTCAAAATATCTGCAGATACATCCTCTTATGTTTTTGTATTGCTCCACATAACAAATTTTAAAGTATTTTAAGACCTCTTAGATGGTCTTATTGCTGCACCAAATTTAAAAAGGTTATTTTATGAACTTAAAATGCATTCTTTGGGTGCAAAACTCTGATATCCATTGACTGAATGATGAATAAACAGCTTTGAGGAAAGGACAACATAGAGATGTTACCTTTTATTGAAATTTTACTATTAATAAAATAGTAGTATAATAATTAATTGAACAAAATAATAAGCTAGATCAAATCAGAAAGTTAGAAAAGAATGGAGTTCATAATAACACATCCTGAGTTTAAGTTCATCAGAATCTTAACTCATTTTTCCTTCTTCCCTGGTTACACCAGCAAGAAGAAATCAGAGGGCAAAATATTCTGCTCCAAACCAGTGGCGGCTCGTAATAAGCACTGTGGAACTCCAGCACCCCCTATTTTCACTTATTATTATTTTTAATATTTAATATAGTGTGCCCTTTAGTCTTTCTTTCTTTATACTTTTACAATACATAATTCTTAAGCTTAATGTCAGTTGCCATCCCCTAATTTTTGAAAAAGTAGCTACTTTGTGAAAAGTGCCTTACTGAAATTCAATCAACATCAAATGCAGATCCCCCCCCCCAAAAAAAAAAATTGCAAAAGCAACAGGAATTTAAAAAAAAAAAACTATATGATGATAATTTCAAGTTTTGGTTAGAGCTTTTTTGATTAGATGCCTCATGTTGAAATAATATACAACTAAATGCAATCCAGAGAAAATAGTGTGTTGTTTAAAGTTAACGAATATATAACAAATTTCGAAATTGCTATTTTAGAATTAAGAAATTCAAAGTACTGTAAGAATTTTTCAAAGACACTGATGGCAGAAGCTAAGGAAATATGTGACTTTATACTATGTATTGATATGATGCACAGATATTCTTCCACTAAACACTTAGCAGCTGCTAAATTGTTAAACAAGAAATTCTTCGCTAGTTTTAGGAATGAACATTCTACAGAAGAAATAGTACTGACCACTGAAGCATATTTAATGATTGACAAAAAAAAAAAAAAGCTTGAAACTGAACTAAAAGTATTCTATAGTCAAAAGTCGTTAATCCGGACTCGTCGGGACTTCGGCGATTCCGGATTATCGATTTTTCCGGATTATAGATCATCAGTTTAAATCTGGTAAGATAGCATGCAGAAATTATGAAATTAAAAATATGAAACGTAATTTATGAAATAAAGAACAATTATGATCTAAAGGGTATCAAAATTTACAAAAAAAAAAAAGCTTAATATTTATTTGTTTACTTTACTTTTTTCGCTATCGGAAGCGAATTATAATGACGAGGAATTTGATTTAAATCATATCAAAGATGGAGTACATCGAGATGAAATACTACATTTAGTAAGGAATTATAAGCCAAATAAATAAAAACATCTGCCTTGAAGATAAGGATAGTGCTGACAGATCAACTTCCAATTCAATGCGCGCCGCGGCGTTCCCCCGCCGCAGAGCAGCGTCAAATTGATAAACAGATTTCGGAATGGTTAGATAAACAAAGGATATGCCTTTATCCATTTTTTGCAGCAATTCCACTTTTTGTTTAATGGACTTCGAAACATACTTTTGCTTTGTAGATCCTTTAAATATTAGTAAATATATATTGGAAATTCTATTTACATAATCGAAAGTTCAAGCTTACTTTTATAAAATTGCTCTAAGAGTCTGCAAAAAATAATAAGCCGGATCCAATTTAAAGATTAAGGAACAACGCAATCTGCAACATTAAATGAATTAGATAATTTTAGCTTAGCTTATACCGTCCGTTATACATTAAATGCGCATGCATAAACGTATTTTGGGCATGCGCACACACATATTTGCAGCCGTAAAGGTCTTATGCGCATGCGTCAACGTGACGCATGTGCAGAAAGTTTGTAGCTTTGAGGTCCGGATTATAGATCATTCTAGATTATGGGTGTCCGAATTAACGACTTTTGACTGTATTGTAGGTCTGATATCCATGAATACTGCAAATTAATTGAGCTACTGAAATTTATCTTTGAAAATAATCTAGATGATGTTCTTAGTGAAATTACGAAACAGACAAAAAAATTCTCTTGAGAGTTTCCCATGACTTACATCAGATGCAGAACGCTGCTTTTTCAACATTGAAAAGAATGAAAACTTTTCTAAGAAGGACTAGGAATTCAGGAAAGACTAAATGCACTTGCACTTGATTTCAATAAAAAAAAATTTCCTCAGTTGTCATCCAGAGATCAAGGAGAAAATTATTGATTTTTTCGCGCAAATTAAAACAAGAACAATGGATTTCAATTTTAAATGAATATACAAAGATTGAACTGTAACAATTTTGGTTAAAGTAATTAAGAAATGTTTAATTTTTTTCTGGAAGTCTTCATGAAGTTTCAAAATAAATTTTCTTTTTATAGTTTATTTCCTTTTAGACAATTTTTTAAACAAAGGTTACATTTTTTTGGAACAGCACCCCCACTAATTTTAGGCACGAGCCGCCACTGCTCCAAACAAACATGGGTCTTTTGGCTTCACTTATTGTGTACAGAGCTAATTAAATAGAAAAATGCCCCACTACACAAAACCACTCAAGGGTGAAAAGTGTAGTTCATTAGATGGCGAGCTTATAAAAAAAAAAGCCATGTGCAGGAGGATTCAATACTGTTGTGGTTAATGATGTTGGAAAAAGAACCTTCGAGAGAAAATCTGATGTATGTTCTATTTACCTTTTCTTGAAAATCATTCTCTATTCCTGTGTTATGTGAAAAAAGAAAATTTCAGTTGAGAAAAAAAGAAACCTTTTTGTGTGAAGTCCATATTGGACTTTCAGATTTTAAATGTTGTACTGTATCAAATTTTATCTTTTGTTTGTGTATTCCTAAATTAACCTTCTTTTTTATTTAGACAGAAAGTTAAATAGTTTTTTAATAATAATCTGCTTTAATTTAAATTTTTTGTAGTTAATTTTGATGCTCTTCATTGTATTTCTTTATGTACAATCAATATTCTTGTTTTATTAATGTGCTAATTTCATTAGGACAGGTTTTAAAAAATGAAGAAATAAAAATTATAAACACTAGTTTTAGGGTGTTTTTTTTTTTTTTTTTTTTTTTTTTTTTTTTAAGTGCTGAATAACTTGTTTAAAAAATTGATGAGTAATTTTTCAGTTTTAATCTTGATTTACATTAGTGTTCGAAGTTACTAAGTTAAATCAAGATTTAACTTCTTTTTGCATTGATTAAGCTTCAAGTATGCTTTAAATTAAGCTAGATTAAGTTTCAATCCTTGCATATTTTTTATTAATGAAGAAAGATAACTGGATACTTGTAAAATATGTCAAGCACTTTATATGAAAATTACATGTATAGCTTCCCAAATTAGCTCAGTTTTTGATTATCAGTATTTTTAAATATCCGATATGTGTCGCTGTTTTACAAATTTAGTTACTCCCAGTATGCTTAAATATGTGTAAAATATTTTTTTGTTTTAAATATTAGTCAAATTAATGTTATCCATGAATTTTCATTTTCATTTACAGGAAAGTGCAAAGAAGGAGTTAGATTACGCAAAAAATGAGCATGCTATGAGAGAAAATTATGCAGCATCCTGTAAACAAATAGGAATTGAGGTTAGTTTATTAAATTCAACATTCCCCCCTTTCTTATTTGTTAATTTTATTATACTCAAAGATAGCAGAAAATTTAAAGATCATTTATTTTAATAAGTAAAAATTTTTCTAAAGATTGTTTATTTTGGTAAATTAACTTATACATGTAAAAACGTATGCTTAGAAATTCAAAAAGGCACACTATAAATTCCCAAATTAATAATAAAGGTAAATAAACAATGTATCAATAGCAGCAGCTCCTACTTGAATAGCTATTTTTTAATAGAGTGATTTTTAATAACAATCAGTGATCGTATAAATTTTTACAATATTATCAAATAATTTTTGGTTCTGCAATATGATATGAATTTTCAGTCAAGTAAAAATGCATACTCTTGTGTTATCCACCCAATCCTACCTCAAACTTGGCAATCATTAGCAGCTAACATGTGATACATTTATTAAGGAAATTAAAAATGCAGGAAACATCTATGATAAAAGTAAAACTTACGTAAAACAAACATCCATAATGAAATGCTTAAAATTTCACAAATTAATTAAATTATAATTGCAACAAACATCCATTATCACTTAACGTTCTGTTTTCTTGATCTTCTGTCCATGTTTGCAGGAATCTGTTTTAATTTTAAAAAAAGATCAGAGAATTTCAGAATTTTCTGCTTTGCAGAGTAAACTGACACTGCTCTTTGTACACATCTAGCATGTTTAACTTACAAAAGCATTAGAGAATTGCACAGATTAACTTAATGGAACACACTCCTTACTAGTAAGCAAAGTGCCATATTTCTAAAAAAATAATAACACTTTCTGTTTTGTTAGGAGGCTTTCTAAGGGGAAAAAAATCTGATGTGTACACCACATGACTTCCTTGTACGGAATATTAAATTATACGCATTTTTTCTTGAATTTAATTTAAACTTCTTAATTAAATTTACTTCGCCGACAGCGCATAAACCACAATAAAATAAATGCATTCTTTAAAATTCACTCTAGTATTTGTTTACCATAGCGGCACTCTGGCGCTAGATTCACTTAACAGTATTATATTTTGTTCATATTATAACTCATAATGCACAAAATTTATATCATTTAAAGAATAGAATTATCTAATCGTTGCCACATGTTCTATTCAAATACTATAATAAAGCTAGAATGATGTATAAAGGAAATTCAGCAAACAAAAACAAAAAAGAAACAGTTTTTCATAGACGATTGAGTATTTCTCATTCAATTAATTCAGTTCTCACTTCGCGAGAAGGCAAAAATACATAAAAACTCAAAATATCTATATTAAAAATACGAAGTAAATCTTAAACACTTATTTCCTCAAAAAAATTTCCAGAAAGGATTAAGCATGATTTAATTGGCAATAATAATGAAGGCTTATCTTTGTTGTGCAAAGCTAAGTTTCTCTAGATTGGCACAAATCCACTGTCTGCTGTTTCATGTAAACAATCAATGCCCGCCATAAAAAAAAAAAAAGGCTTAGCGCACTTAAACAACTTAAAATTGTTTAGAATTCTAAAAATATTGCTACAGATTTATTAAAGCCTTAACTGAAACTAAACTAAAAACCTTAACTGAAAGTTGAAAAAACATAATTCAATCATTTTTTAAAGCAAAAAATTTACAATTTACAACATATAAGAGTAAAGAAACTGAGATCACAGAGTAGGTAATATATATATATAAATATATTTATATATGTTGGTGTGGCCGATTGCAATCAAAATACGAGGTGCACATTACATGTTAACAGTCCATATACAAATTTCAACGTTTGAGGCTACTCGTTTTGAGTTATGCGAGATACGTACGTACGTACATACATTCGTACAGACACCAAGAAAAATTCTCTTCAGAATTAATTTTAAAGCAGTTTTATAATTTTTTTTTGAGAAAACGAGTCTTTCATTCTGTCTTTACGTACAGATATCATGCAAAAACATCGTTAAATTGCATCCAATAGCGGTCAATATGGATATTTTCGTTGAAATATGCTGCCTGAAACTTTTCGGGATTACAATACTTCCTTTTTACTTTGTACAAGAAAGTAAAAAAAGAACACCACATGCTAATCTCAACTAATAGAAATCCCAAATATAACCCTCGAATTTCAAAACTGCATGAACTGCTACTACCGCTAATTGCATGTACAACCATTAAGGTGTTGCCAGATAAATGCATTTTCATAAAATTCTGGATTGCCTACTTTGGCAACATTGCACCTTGCCTGGTGATCTTCTCAAGATTGGCTGAATAATGCGATAGTACCAAAAATTCTAATATTCATTTCTGCTTAAATGAAATTCTTGTTAATGTATCAAGTAAAGGAAGAGAGTTGTGTGTTATAATCTGAAGAATGAACTTAATTATGAGGTAAACTTACCTCATATTACAAACCAAATTCTGAGTGACCAGAAGAAACATTTAGCTTGGTAGTATTTTGTCCTGATGATTAGAAGCCATACAGTATGCTGGCATTAATTCAGGATCAAAAAGGCAAGTGAGTTTTCTCACTAATACCTGTCACTGTCATATTTGTGAGGAAATATTTCAAGCATTAAGTGAATGAAACTAGACATATAAAATGAAATGGCCTGATTGCTGCCCTTCTACGTTGTCTAAATTTCACAAATGCATTATAAAGAGCAGTGAGATAAAATTAGGCCTTTTTAGAACTCCTAAAAAAAGCCATTATTAAATAGTATTTTCTTGATTATAATTTCAAAATGACCTTGTACCTTGATTTAGTACCTTGTGACTTGATTGTTTTTCTTGAAACACATATACTAGTTTAATTGTTTGAACACATTTCATGATGTGTGTCTGCATGCTTAGATGTGTTATGACAAATATTTTTGAATGTATGTAGGAATGCTACTTGGTGGGTTAAACAGCCTTCCAGCATTTGTTTGGTAACAATAATTCTTTACATCCTATGATCATTTAAAGCAGGTATAGACATTAAAAGTTACTGCAAATGAACCGAGATTGCTAAATTATGAAAGTAATTCATTATTTTTATCCAACATCTATCTTGTTTTCAAATTTCTACAATATGTACTGTGCAAGATTAAGGAATAAGAGTTTATTACTTTTTGTAAGAATGAACTCAAATTACTTGTTATCAACGTGCTGCATCATTTCAGTATAAAAATGTGTCTGAGAAAGTTTACAGTGATCTGATACTGAAGTACAGTTCAAGAGAATTGTTTTAAATATTCTTAAATTACTCCCATAGATAACCATTTGCAGCAAAATATACCAAAGCTCAGTCAATTGTTTTCGCAATTTAATTGTGTTTAAGAATTTTTTAGAAAATTTTTTATAGAAAATTGGGTTTTACTTTCACATTATTTTTGTCTTCCCTTCTCTAATAATTAAAGCAGAATTAAGTTCACCTGCATTTTTTTTTTTTTTTTTTTTTTTTTTTTGTTTTTTTTGTGTGTGAAGATCACTGTTAGTTCACTGTGCATCAAAATCCCAGTAACTGGCAACTGGCTAATTGCTTGGGCATTTCATGGAGTTTTTTTATATGACATATAAATGAGAACCAGTTTCCCTTAGAAAGTCTGCCCCTTTATAGTATAACCCTCAAGTGTTTTGTTGTATTTAAACGAATAAATAAACCTTAAATTCCTAGTTTTTCCACTGTATTTTTCTATAAGAAAGCTGGGTTTTTTGTGGGGGGGGGAGTAGAAGTTCATTCATGATTGCTTGTAAAATATTATTAAGTTATTTTAACTTTAATAAGCTGGTATTCATTATGTTGATTTTGATCTAACATTTGTAATGGCATATTTTCTTTTGATTTGTTTGTCCTCCTTCCAGTGGTTTTTAAACTGGAACTTTTTTAGATGAGCAGATTAAAGTAATTGCTTATTGTTTTATGTTTTATTTTAAAAATTCTCTCTGTTTTTAGGGTAAAAATGTCAAAAAAGAATTGCTGTCTTTGTTAGATGAATTACCAGAAGCACTTGGATCGGTTGCTGTTTCTTCAAAAAAATTAGCTCTTGTTCGAAATTATTATGTATCTTTTCTAAAGTTTACTCTCAACAGGTAATGTCAAAAAATATAATATACATTGCATATTTTATCTTTTATTTTCTTTGGACATTATTCTGTTAATTATTTTATGGCAATATTTGTCTATTGATAAGAAATGTGTATTAATTACTAATTAACATCCATGTAAAAAACATCCATGTTTAGATGAAAATTTTATAAATTTTTACATTAAAAGAGGCTCATGGAACTTGATTATATATTTTTTTATATTTAATGGTTGATATTATGTTATTAAGCCATAAAATTATCTTTTAAAGATGTATATTATCAAGTATGTCTAAATAAACAGAATTGACTTATTGCCAGGCTAATTTTGCAGGTTGTTTACAAAAATTGTGATAGAATTTCATAAAGTTATGTAATTTTAGAGTTTTTTAGGATTTATTGTTTAGTATGCTGCCTTGTTAATATAGTGGCTATCAGTGCTGGTGGCCATATCATTGGGACCAGGTTCAAATCCTGGAGAAGGTTTTGAATGTTCTTAAATGTATTGTGTGTGTGCAGCATGGTGGGCACTCAAAATACCTGTGAGCTAAACATCTTCCTGAGAAGCTTGGAGGTATTTGTGCCCTGGGGCATTCTCCATGAAAATTGGAACATAGATGTACACTTAAGGCAGTGGGAACTCTATCTGTAAAACATTTAATGAAGTTCTTATGTTCTGCCCACCTCTTCCTGTCTTGCCCTGTGTCAGTTGGAGTTTGGGTAGTGTTTTATCATGTCTGTGTAAATTATTGAAATTTAACCTACATGGTTTTATTAAAAGAAACCTCTATAAAATATTTTATTTTGCTGATATTTCCAGGGATGTGGAGAATACTTGCCTTCCTGTCTTAAAGCATATCATTGAAAAGGGTAATACCACTACTTTTGAGTGGAGAACTGGTGAACCACCTGATGTGGTTGAAGTCACAACTCCTGTCATTCCTTTAGATGTTGAATCGGGAAGTACTGAAGCACCAGATGACCAGGTCTGATTTGCAATGCATTTCTTTTTTTTTCCCCCATATTCTTCTGATTTGGTAAATTTTGATAATATATTATCAGTGATTTATAAATGTGAAAAAAATGTCACATTTTTTAAAATTGTTGATGTTTAAAAATTGAGCTTTTTTCCCCCACTGAAAGTATTAATTATTTCTCAGAATTTTACTCATATATGATAACTA